GTCAGGTATATGAATGCCTAACTTACAAGGTACCATTCTCCTCTTCATTTAGGAAAAACATGTGTAACTCTTAACCCCCGCCCCATCCCCCACTAGCTGAAAGCACAAGCCAAACAGCCTCAGTTTTCTGACCATCAGAGGAAGAGTTCAGGACAAATATAGCTATACTTAGAGTGTGAGGAAACCTGAGCTGCCAATGGAAGAAATACAATCTGAGAGCCAGGAGTAGATATAAACTTTTTTTTCCTTCCTTTAAAAAAACCCACTAGTTGAAGTGACTGTATTCTGATGTTCTTTGTGGCTTCAACAGTGTGAGAGGGGATGGTTTTAGGGCTAGCACAGAAAACCACTTCCCTTCTGAGGCTGAATACGGTCTGAAGCTTACTCTATGAACTAGTTAATGAAGAAGGAAAAAAGGAGACAAGGAGTCAGAGATAGAGAAGCATTTCCGGCAAGGAAGATGGGACTGAGTGACGCAAGGACTGTAAATTTCTAAGGAGAATAAGCCACTCCTGATTTCTGCCTCATGACTGAGAAGTGCAGACAACATACATTATCCAAAGCTTCTGGATGAACACCTAACTAGAATGTGGCTCCACCCTGAAGCAAAGACCCCCACCCCCGCCACTGAACTAAAAGTGACAGATGACTTACCATGACTAGGACATTTAGTTAAATAAGATTTCTTTGAAATAGAACAATCTACTATCATTGTGGTAGCAGACTGTAGAAAATTTCACTGGTATCAAATGCTAAAAATATGGTATCAATAGGAAAGTTGGTTGAGTTATCAGCTGTTTCTGTCTTATATAAAAGTCCAAGCATTCATGATTTCCTAAAAGTTATACTGTATTTTAACAGCAACACTCAAACTTAATAGTGTCTCTGGGGACTTCCCTGGTGGTTCAGAGGCTAAGACTCCACACTCCCAATGCAGGGGGCCCAGGTTCCATTCCTGGTCAGGAAACTAGATTCCACAGTCTGCAACTAAAGATTTAGCATGCCACAATGAAGAAAGAAGATCCCGCATGCCACAACTAAGACCCGCCACAGCCAAACAAACAAATAAATAAAAATTTAAAAAAACAAAAGGAATGGACAGAGGAATGGAGAAAAAAGATGTGGTACATATATACAATGGGATATCAACCAGCCATTAAAAAGAATGAAATAATGCCATTTGCAGCAATACGGACGGGCCTAGAGAGTGTCATACTGAGTGAAGTCAGTCAGCAGAGAAGAACTATCGTATGACACCCCTTATTTGTGGAATCTAAAAAGTAATGATACAAATGAACTTACAAAATGGAAAGAGATTTACAGACTTAGAGAACAAACATGGTTGCCAGGGAGAACGGATAATTAGGAAGTTTGGGATGGTCATGTATACAACGCTGTATTTAACAAGGTTAAGTAGGTCCTGTATACAAGGACCTACTGTATAGTATGTGGAACTCTGCTCAATGATATGTGGCAACCTGGATTGGCAGGGAGTTTGGGAAAGAATGGATACCTATGTATGTATGGTTGAAACCCTTTGTTTGTTCACCTGAAACCATCATAACACTGTTAATCTGCTATACCCCAATACAATAAAAAGTTAAAAGAAATAGTTTCTGTCTAAATCATGTCTTTCTTTAGATAAGAAACAACAGTGTGGCCTCTGGGAAATTGGATATGGAGAAGAAAAAGATCTTTCTCATTTTCTTTTTTTTTTCATATTCAGGTAACACTTTATTATTCTGGCTTTGAAATAGTTATGACAATACTCGGCAAAGTCCTAGGCAGTTCAAGTTACAAGACTGTCTCCCCAGAGTTACTGAATAAATCACTTGCATGGAGCATCCAGGTTTTTTCCAATATAAAATAAAAGCCTATGTAGCTGTTAGGCTCTGATAAATGCTTTCAAGTGAAAGTGAAGTTGCTCAGTCGTGTCGGACCCTTTGCAACCCCGTGGACTGTAGCCCACCAGGCTCCTCTGTCCATGGGATTCTCCAGGCAAGAATACTGGAGTGGGTTGCCATTCCCTTCTCCATCTTTCTCATTTTCTAATTGTATATCTTTTTTGTATTAACTTTTTTTCACTATGTACATTCTCTACTTTCATAATTAAAAACAATCTAAATCATTGGGTGTCCATCTGTATGTCCTACTACCAGGTCACCCACTAACATTGCTAGTCTAACTTTCTAATTCAGGTCGTGTGATAGGAGCTCTAAGATATGATCTCTCCTTCACAAGTTTGGAAAGAGGAAGATCTAGATCCTGTTCCCTGGGGGAATGAATTCAGGCAGAGAAAGGTCAGGATATCAGTAATACTGAAAAAATCCAGTGTTTTTCAGCTTCATATTCCTGAGGAAGACATACTCTTAACCTGGGACACTTCTGGAGAGTAGACACTGTAGAATAGATGAATGCAATGAAATGCCATCTGGCAAGGTTTCAGGCTCAAAGACTCTTTATCAAATGGTGAAAAAGACTGGTTATTTGGGTCATTAGGGAAAAATCCAACTTCTTGGCCCTTGGAATGGTGCCAAAAAACCTCTATATTAGTCTTTAATGAGTTCCCTATGGTGGAAATCAGAGGTAACCAAAATGAATTGGTCCCAGATTGTGTTATACATTAAAATGACCTTCCCAAATTTGTATTTCACAAGGAAAAATTTGGTATAATTGGTTTTACACTAATTGAACTTCACTCCTATTCTTTTGTTTTCAGCCATGCCACACGACACATGGGATCTTATTTCCCCCACTAGGGATCAAAACTGCACCTCCTGCATTGGAAGGGTGGTCTTAACCACTGGACTGCCAGGGAAGTCCAGCACTTCACTCCCATTCCTCAGGTGAGGACATTCCTTTATGACAGCAGCTGATTCTGCAGGAGGAATTAGGTGACTTTTAGGATTTGTTACAGACCAGAATCTTATTTCCCAGGGAAGTTTGTCGAGTTTAAGATACTTTAAAAGGAGGCAGAGTTAACCATCTGTCAAGGTTTCTCCAAGGGTAGTATAACTTGAAGTAGGGGGGCCAGGTGACCTCCTGGAGCCTCTCTGGCCCGCTGTTTGCTGCTAACTGGGAATAGCGACCTAACGTTGCACGATCAGTCAGCATGGCTGGGAGATTCCAACTGGCTCAGAGAGCACCAAAAATAAGCCACAAAGCATTCAAGAGTCATGCATATAGTTTTGATTCCAAACATACTTTGTGCTTATCCCCATCCAGGTCGCGGATTTTTATGTAATTTGTGTGTGTTAAAGACAAGGAAGTAAACTGGAGGCAAAGGAATGCAAGGATGTGGATCAACAAACATGCCTGATGTACTGTGTGCGTTTACCTTAAAAACAGATTTAAAGTGTAACACCATGACCACCTTTAATTTAGAAGGAGTTAGGCCCGTCAGACAAAAACCGCCGTTCAGAGGCAACAAAGCCGTGGGCACAGGTTCCCTCGTACCCCCGGGGTTCACCTGGAAGCCAGGGCGCCAGGAAGGCCTCGTGAACGGAGAACTGAAAGAGGGGCGGGGAAAAGGGAACAAATACACCTCGCGGCCGGCACAGCCCGGGTCCCACTGACGGAACTAACCCAACGACACCGAGCAGCGGCTCAGAGGCAGGACCCGGCCCCACGATTCCGCCTCCCTGCTCTCGAGCAGACCCCAAAGGCTGGAGCCCCTAAGTGAGCATGCATTCCCACTCTCAAAGGCTAGGTTCTCCTTCCTCCCTCCTCAGGTTTCCAAGCCCCCACCCCACAATTCCGCGTTCCCTCCACACAAACCCTCGGTACTCCCCACATCCCACATCTTCGTCCTTCCTGGACCCCAAGATCCATTCCTTACGATCACAGACAGGGATCCCTTACCTGCAGAGCAGCTCGACAACCCTGCAGGTAGTTCTCCATGGTGAAGCCCAACGTGTGCCGCCGCCCCTCGCCGCGGAGAGGTTAACCGGCGAATGCGCCCCGCCCCGGACTCAGGGGCTTGCGACGAGTCGGGAGGCGGGACTCGAACCCGCCACACGGAGATTCACCCCGGGAGGAAGTGCGTAACCGGGCGCCCCGGGAGTCCGACGTTGCCCCGCCCCCAGGGGCGGAGGCCAAGTTCTGTGCCCAGAGACTCACGGGAGGCGCGAAGTGGGGAGTAGTGCGGGGGCATCCTGGGAAATGTAGTCCCGCTGCTCCGCTATGGCCCCCAAGAATTGCGGGAAGAATTATCTGCGTTCACAAGTGTGTATGTGTCATATAATCTATCTTTGTGGCTTCTGAACTTTCCCTCTTGAGTCAGGCTAAGTATAGCGTCTTTCCATAAATTATATCCACCACCTGGTTGACATCTAAAATTCCACTGGGCAAAAACAACTTCGTCTTTCTTGAATTCTCTTGCTTACCAAACTGACCCATTATGTGGTCATCCTTGTTATAAAAAATTTTTAATAATCTCTGACCTCTCTTCTTTACTTAATACCTATAGTCTCTTGCCAACTCCTGCTGCTGCTTTTACAACTCTGTAGCCATTTGGCAAATGTCTCATTCTTCCCCGGTCTGTTGTAACCTGGGATCTATACGCCCTGCCTCCCCAGTTGTTCCAACTCCCCTTTCAGCCTGCAGAGTTGCTTGAAGTTTCATCCTGCCGTAGCCCTGTGAGTAGAGCTTGGGAGGCCTTTCAGAATGTAGAGTTGGGTTCCAACCTCCTTTAACTGTCATCTTCCAGCCCCAGAGGAGTGCAGAGTACTGCATGTAAATGTACTCTCACCATCAAAGGTTCCCTCCGTCCCTTTTTTTTTTTTTTTTTTTGTGGCGCCCGTCTCACCCGTTTTTTTTCTTCTTCTCGCTCTGGGTTTTGGGGGGGTGTTGTGTGTGAGGCTGTGGGGTGTGTGGGTGTAACAAGGACCAGAGCACAGGGGTATGGAATTCCTTGCTTGCTCAGCTAGTTTTCTGCTTGCTGCACTCGCTGCTTCTTCCGCACCTTCTGCATTACCAGGGTGCAGCCCCACCGGTTTCATTTCTTAACTAAAAAAAAGAAAAAAATGATACAGTAAGGGCTTCGAAAGGATCAGGATTTTTTTCACTTTAAATGAATAAATATGAAAATATCAGGCTCTTTGGCCCTGTTTTGGGGAGGCAGGGCAGAGGACTGCCGCACCCAGGGAGATCCACAAAGCTTCTGTCCAGCCCTGCTCCTCCCAGCTCAGCCAGGGCCCTTGCTCTTCCCTATTCTCACCAGAGAGGCACAAGTGCTCCATCCCTTCCAGCGGCAGGCGGAGAGAAGAGAAAGGGTCTGTTGTTTTTCTCTCCTTGTTTCTCTCCCTCACTGCTGATCACCAAGCTGCTGACCAGGTCAGAAAGCCCGAATGGAAATCCGCCAGTGCCGGGCAGGCTCCTCCTCCTTCGGGAAGCTTGTCCTTGACTGATTTTTCTTTGTCCCGATGGGGGAAAAAAGAGAGAGAAAGAACAAAAAAGAAAAACCACAAACTTCCTTTGAAAACCAGCGCTTGTAGACGGGGCCTGGAGCGCGCGCCCTAGACTCGGCGACTCAGATCCTGAAGACGCTCTGAGCGATCTGGGCGCACCTGGGCTGCACCCCTGCCTGGCTGCACCCTTCTCCAGGGCCCCCCGGTCGTGGGCGTGAGCCCGGAAGTAGCCACGAGCCAGCCGGGACCGCCGCTCGTAAACCTGGGTAAACCTGTGTAGACTCTGGCGTTGACAGCTGGGAGGCAGCCGGGACTGGCGGCGCCCCTCTCAGCCCTCCTCCCTCACCGCAGTCCCGGAGTGGAACCCTCCTTCTAAGTCCTGGAACAGCCCCCACTTCTTTAAGGTAAAAACTGTCTTAACCATTTCCTTCAGCTTTTTTCCTTTCCCTCTCTGGCTTTGGAGAGGTGACCCTGCCTATCCTCCCACCCTGGGTCTCTGTAAGTCTGGATCTCTAGAGGCGCTCAGGCCGGAGTAAGTAAAAGAGATGCTACCTTTCCCCCTTTTAATTACACCTTCCCCCTCTCCCTTGCTAACAAGTAGACAGGGCACTGTGGCGGACTTACTCTGAGGGGAAAATCTAAACCATTAGTTGCATGAAGATTTGGGTCAGAGTGAGAGGGAGATTGGGATGGAACCCTACGCACTTGAAGGGAGAGTAAAGTTCCTGGGGAGCAGGGGTGGGAGGGGGGAGTGTCTTCTTGAAGCTACAGACCTGATTCCTGAGATTCTTCCAACTTCTGGCTATTTATTGCTACTGGCTAGGGAAGGGCAGGGGCTGTTTTACCCCACCCCACCCCTCTCCCCGCCCCGTCCGCCCCGTCCGCCACCAGAGGATGATTCCAGAAAGTGTAGGATTTAGTTAAGAGGGAAGGAATGAATTCCTTGTTTAAGTACCTGTGAGTCTCAGAATGCATTCTGCTCTCAAGTACTCCATGCCCACTCCACCAGGTGTGGACCCTGTAGCCTAGAACTCTTCCAATTACTCTTCCTTCCCCTCTTCTGAAGGATTAGCCCATTTAGCTTTCCACCCAGTTTCTCTGAGACCCAGCTTCCTCTGGTAGTCCAGTTCTGGGTTCTTTTGGTTCACGGGACTGCCCAACCCCCACTTAATTATAGACCATTTCTGGCATTTGGATAGAAAAGATAAGAAGTAAGCCCTGTTTTTCTTCAAGCTTTTAAAAAATTGTCCCAGGCTCTGCTTTCTGCTTCTGAGTCTCATCCTAAATGACATTTGGGAAGGAAGGAAAAAAAGGAGAGAGACTAAAAAAAAAAAGTGTAAGGCCTGTGGGCAAATTTTGCTACTCTGATTCTAAATTAATCACATGGAAATGAGATGCAGCTAGCATAGATTATATTTGAATCAGAAGGGTGATCCATTTGGGTGACTAGTCTTATTTCCATGACTTTTACTCAACTTCACTTCCGAGGCTTTACCTTAGCTCTAAATTCCTGATTTACCTGATTGCGAAAGGAAGCATAGTCTCAGGTTAGGAGGAAGCAAGAGAAAAGGTTTCTAACAAGTTTATTCCTCTGCCTTTCTCACCCTGACCAAGGTGGAGAGGGGAGCAAGGAGGTTGAAGGGAGATATTTTCCAGGAGGCAGGGTTTGTGGCTTTTTATCATCTACTATCCATAGTGTTAATTAAATGTCTATGCTTAGTGCTGGTAGAGAGCAGGTTAAACAGGTCCTTAGTTGACATTTAAAATGACCTAGATGGGAATAGATTGAAAGAACATTTGCACAGATAGATGAATGTAGAGGGAGTAACTTTTTTTAATGTAAATCAATAATCAGTGTTTTCATATTCCATGTAGCGAGCAAGGGAGTACGGGGTTTGAGCAGTTTTCAGAGCATAGCGGAATTGAGGAGAAGTTGCTATCCCAACTCCAGCTGGCAGCAGAAGCTTACTGGAAGAATGGGGCTGGGGGTGGGGTGGGACAAGTTGTACCTTTAATCTGAAATTCCTTATCAGAACCGATCTCCGTTTCAAGTCCCCAAGCCTGCATTTCCCCTCACCAGCCTACAGGAAGCTCCTCCTTTCTGTTGTGGTTTGCAATTGTGTAAAGCTGGAATTCTAAAGGTGGAGTCCTTCAAGGAGAAAGACTTCTTTCTCACCAGTGTTTCCCCTTTAGGGGTATGATACTGACTCTTTTTCTTCACCCCAAGCACTGTTTAGCTATTTGGCCTTGGGATGAAGCAGAGAAAACAGGGCCCTAAAGATAGATATAAGCCATGTGTGCTCAGGATGTTCCCTGAAGAGTCAAGGGCAGGGGTGGGGGATGGGGCAGAGGATTCACCCTCATTCCAGCTACGGTGGGTTTTACTGACAGGATGCTTATTTCAAGGTTAGCCACAGAGCAGTGTATTAAGATCACTGTCAGTACTGTGTAAACATTTCTTTCTCCATCTCTTTTCCTTCTTTCTCCTTTTGCTCTCCCTTTCTGTCTTGTCTTCATTCCTTGTCATTCTGGAAATGACATTCCTTGTCATTTCTGTTTCAGGAAAGCTGACGCTACCCAATGTCTTCAATCCCACCAGAGTTATCCCTTCCAAACCTTCGAGTCCTGTACCCTCTTTGGTCCCATCTGGTCACAGCAAGTTAGAGGTGACAGCTCGACCTGGGGCCCTTCTATTTAACCGAAAACTGTACTGCCCATAGCCTGGAGTGGCTGAACTGACGCTCACCAAGCCTTCCGCACTACATTCCTTTTCCAAGATTTTTCTGGGTCTATTTACTTTTCAACCCAATGATTTCCTTATTGGATCCGTCTCCCTTTTGCATATCAAGCTTAGAGTAAGGCCCGTCTCTGAGCACAGTAAAGCCCTTTGGCACCCCTCAGTCGACCCTTCCTGGCCATGGAACACCATCAACCTGAGCATCCAGCCCCTGGTGAGGCCAGGACTGCAGAAGCAGTCAGCCCTGAAAACCACAAGGTCTTGTCAGAACCCAGAGAGCACCCTCAGGCCAAGGATGCCGAAGAGGCGGATGGGGCAGATGTAGAACAGGAGCCGGTAGAGCAAGCTTCACTGCCAGCCCAAGGCCAGGATAACTTCGAGTCCCCTCCACCAGATGCTAGCTCAAGCCAACCAGGGCCGTCCCAGGAGACTCAACCTGAGGTAGAGACAGTGGGGGCCTGCTCCAGGCTCCAGGAGCTTCCCCAGTCCCCCAGGGCCCGACAGCCTGAGCTAGACTTCTACTGTGTCAAGTGGATCCCCTGGAAAGGAGAACAAACACCTGTCATTACCCAGAGCACCAACGGCCCTTGCCCTCTCATCGCTATCATGAACATCCTTTTTCTTCAGTGGAAGGTAAGAGGGAATTTGGATGGGGTCTTAGAAAATCTTGATCATTCTGCTTTTCTCAAACCTGTCAAACTTTCCAGGTTTTTCTTCCTTTTTCTCCAGGTTGAACAAATGAGATAAGATATTTGCAAAAACAAGGCAATTAAAAAAAAAAAGAAAACAAGACAATTATCTGTCCTATTCCTTCATCTTCTACTGTCTAGCAAATGGGAATGCCTTGCAGTTTTTCACATTCATTCCCTTGCTCCAGTTGCAAGCCATTTCCCCCACCACACCTGACTACTGGACAACCCCTGCCCTCCTGCCTTTCTCTGGGCTCCTCCTTCAGTGCTCCAGGAAGGAAAGCACACACCTGGCTAACTTTTTTTTAAATTTATTCATTTTTGGCTGTGCTGCGTCTTTGTTGCTGCACACAGGCTTTCTCTAGCTGTGGCCGAGTCGGGGCTACTCCTTGTTGTGGTGCATGGGCTTAGTTGCGCATGACATGTGGAATATTCCCTGACCAGGGAGCAAACTTTGTCCCCTGCATTGGCAAGCAGATTCTTTACCAATTACTGGCCAACTGTTTGATCTCTCCTTGCCTCCAGGTAAAGCTGCCACCTCAGAAGGAAGTGATCACGTCAGACGAGCTCATGGCCCATCTTGGTGAGTGACTGGGCCTTCAAGAGGAATTACCCAAAAGGTTCCAGTGCTATCTACTGAGCCAGAAATCCAGAGTATTGAGGGACTCCTCATTTGGGGATCTATGTGGCAGGGAGGGTAAAGGTCTGTAGGGCTTTGCTGCGAGGCTGGGGAATGAAGAGCAAAAGTCAAGGGGTCAGGAGTCCTGGGTCGTCATCCTCATTCTTTTCTTAGCTTTCACATGTGACCTTGAGTGGGTCCTTCACCTTTTGTGGCTTCTTTCTTCCTCTGAGAAAGGAAGGCCCTTTGCAACTCTGAAAATCTGTGGTTCTCTGATATTACCTCTGTTTTCTTGAAGAAGAGGAAGCAGCTTTTGGGACAGTGGTGGGGTAAGCTGATAAGGAATCCTGTCTTGTAGGAGACTGCCTTCTGTCCATCAAACCTCAGGAAAAGTCAGAGGGACTTCAGCTTAATTTTCAGCAGGTGAGGTGAAAGATCTGTGAACTGGGGGGTTGCAGGTTCATAAGGGGACACCCAGGCTGTTAAGAGAGGCTTTTCTGATACTTCTCAAGAGGGTTCTTTGAACCATCATTTCTTTCTGCAGGAGGGAGAGAGTGTATCTCTGTCTTAGAAAATATGTTCGTTTACATAAGATAAAGAAGGATTGAGAAAAGGGAGGACTTTCCATTGTAAGAAACCTGGGGGAAAAAGCAACAAGATTAAATTTTTTTTTTTTCTGGAGGAAGGAGTGGAACAAGAAGAGGGAAGGCTAGAATATCCATCATTTTCTTTTTCCACCAGTTTTATTGATATATAATCGACATATAATACTGTGTAAGGTTTATTTTTTCATTTCATTTTATTTTTTTAATTGAAGTATAGTTGATTTACAATACTGTGTTAGTTTCAGGTATATAGTGTGGTGATTCAGTATTTTTGCAGATTAAATTCTGTAATAAGTTATTATAAGATACTGGCTATCTTACAATTAGATTGGCTGGGTATATGGGACTTCCCTGGTGGTTCAGTGATTAAGACTCTGTGCTTCCAATGCAGAGGGCATGGGTTCGATCCCTGATTGGGGAACTAAGATCCCACGTGCCTCACAGCCAATAAACAGGTAAATAAATAAAATTTAAAAAAAAAAGATACTGGGTATAATTTCATTTGCTATATAGGATACCCGTGTTGCTTATCTATAACACTAAGTTTATGTACAATGTGCTGATTTGACCTATCCATCATTTTCTTTTCCACCCCAGAATGTGGACGATGCAATGACAGTGCTGCCTAAGCTGGCCACAGGTCTGGATGTCAATGTGCGGTTCACAGGAGTCTCTGATTTTGAGTATACACCTGAGTGCAGTGTCTTTGACCTACTCGGCATACCTCTGTACCATGGCTGGCTTGTTGATCCACAGGTGAGGGTGGGAGGGCCCAAGTGAGCCTCAGCCAGCTCAAGCTGAGACAGAAGCAAAATTTTGTGGGGTTGGGGTTAGGGAGGTAGGGAGTAGATTGGCTAGGGAGGGGATTGGGGTCTCCAGGTTGGATTCAGTGTGGAATTCCTTTAGTTTTTAACTTTTGGGTGTAACATTCAAACACAAGCAAGCAATATGAGAATGGGTCAGTTCTTTAGACATCAAAAGTTTCAGGAAGCTTTTGTCATAGGGTTGCAATCCTTGTGGGCTTGGTTCATTTCCTTCCTAAAAAAAGCTCTCCATTTTGGGGGGTATCACCCCAACCCGCTGCCCATGCAGAGTCCTGAGGCTGTGAGTGCAGTCGGGAAGCTGAGTTACAACCAGCTGGTAGAGAAGATCATCACCTGCAAGCACTCCAGTGACACCAACCTGGTGACAGAAGGTGACATTCCTCCCTTCTCCTCAGCAATCTCATGTGGAGGGGACGATGGCTACTGAGGCTTAGTGTTTATTGTCTGTTTTCCCACCACCACGTCCCATGAGAATGTAGGCACCATGAGCGGGAGTTTGGGGAGTTGTCTGTTTCGTTCACTGATGTACCCCCTAACCGAGTGCAGTGCCTGGTTGCTCCGTTAGCATCTGTTTGTTTATTTATTTGGCTGAGTCTTAGTTGTGACATGCGGGGTTTTTCTTTAGTAGCAGCATGGACTTCCCAGGTGGTTCAGTGGGTAAAGAATCTGCCTGCAGTGGAGGACATGCAAGAGACTCAAGTTCGATCCCTGGGTTGGGAAGATCCCCTGGAGGAAGGGCGTGCCAATCCACTCCAGTATTCTTGCCTGGAGAATCCTCATGGACAGAGGAGCCTGTTGGGCTGCAGTCCATAGGGTTGCACAGAGTAGGACATGAGTGAAGTGACTTAGCATGCGTGTACACCTGCGTCTTTCTCTCTCATTTTTTAAAAATAATTACTTGTTTATCTGTGGAGGGTCTTAGTTGTGGCATGTGGGATCTAGTTCTCTGGCCTGGGCCCCCTGCATTGGGAGCATAGAGTCTTAGCCACTGGACCACCAGGCAAGTTCAGCATCTGTTGAATGGATGAATATAACCAGGCTTCAAGGAGGGAATGTCACAAGGTGGGACTGATCCCTAGGGCTTTGGTAGGGGCTCTCTGGATGATCCTACTGTGGACTTTGGATTTGAGTCCCCTGTCCCTCTTTTCCCGTCCTTGCTGCCAGGCCTGATTGCAGAGCAGTTCCTGGAGACCACTGCCGCACAGCTGACCTACCACGGTCTCTGTGAACTAACAACAGCTGCCAAGGAGGGCGAACTGAGCGTCTTTTTCCGGAACAACCACTTCAGCACTATGACTAAGCATAAGGTGATGAGGGTTTGGAGGTGGGAGGTTGGAGTGCTGTCTATTTCCTCGTGCCTGTTTCTTCTGGGTCAGTGTTTCAGTCAGGACAAGGTAGATTAAGCTGTGGTAACAAATGACCCCTAATGTCCCTGTGGTTTACCATGACAAAGGTTTATTTCTCATTCATGTTGCATGTCCACTGTGGGTTGGCTACAGTTCCGTCCCACATTATCTTCACTCTGTGGCCCTGGCTGACAAAACAGCCTTTATCTGAAACATAGGAGAGAGAGAGGGACACACCATGCGCAGTGTTCGTTCTGCTACCATCTCGCTGGCCAGAGTGAGACATAAGGAGTAAGCTTGCCATCAGTGGGCCAAGAGAGTGTACATCCTCTCCCAGGAAGGGGCAGTGGAAGTTTTGAACAATACTATAGTTTTCCAAGCCTTCCCTCATGGCTTAGACTGTAAAGAATCTGTCTGTAGTGCAAGACACCCGGGTTTGATCCCTGGATTCGGAAGATCCTCTGCAGAACAACCCATTCCTGTATTCCTGCCTAGAGAATTCCATGGAAAGAGGAGCCTGGTGGGCTACAGTCTGTGGGGTCGCAAAGAGTTGGACATGAGCGCGTGACTAACACACATATAGTTTTCCAAAGCTGGAAACTGTCTAAGCGTTCTAGGAATTGAGTAGAAGAGGGAAAGATCTTTGGTTCTTTTTTTTTTTTTCTTGGTCTTGTTTGATCTCACAAGACCTCCAAAAATTTGTTGGTGAGATAAAGCTTTCTTGGTTCTACTTCACTTAGTCTACACGGCAGTACCGGAGACTAAGCGCAAGCAGAAGCAAGAAAGAGCGTGCTGCCACAGATCTTTGGTTCTTAAAGGATTTATCCTCATAGGCATCCCGTGAGCCCAGAGAACCTCGGGAAGTAGAATAGGAGGACTTCAGCCCCAGGACTCCATGCTTAGCCGCAGTGACTGCCACACTCACACTGACACGTTTCAGCTAGCACGCCGATCAGTCACATGGGCTCTGCGAATCTCAGATCACTTCTGGCCATGAACTGCAGCTCTCGCCCACCCCACCAGCGCATGTGTTCTCTTCCTCACAGGGTCACTTGTACCTTCTGGTCACTGACCAGGGCTTTCTGCAGGAGGAGCAAGTGGTGTGGGAGAGCCTGCACAATGTCGACGGAGACAGCTGTTTCTGTGACTCTGACTTTCACCTCAGTCACTCCCCGGGCAAGGGACCCGGATCGGAAGGTGGGAGTGGCTCCCCGGAAAAGCAGCGGCAGGTGGACCAGGTGTGTGGGGCCTTGGGGGTGGGCGTGGGGTGCAGAGACCGTGCCCGCCCCGGAGGGCTCTGTGCCCAAGGCGAGCAGCCTGTATCTTATCATCTGGAGACTGTAACTTATGACACCGGGCCCCTCTGTGGGCTCTGGGGACCATCTCTGAGCTTGGGGTGTGTTCTCTGGCATCACAGATAAAATACGCGGCTGTGTGTTTTGCTCTTGAGGAGAAGGAGCTGGGGGATTGGAAGGATAAGGAAAGGCTGAGCTGGTTTGGAAGCCTAAGCCCAGCCTGGCCTGCCCCCTGCCGCAGCCTCCCTCACTGCCCTTGTTCTTGCCCCTGTCTCTAGGACTACCTGATCGCCTTGTCCCTGCAGCAGCAGCAGCCCCCGTCCCAGGGCACGTCAGGTCTGAGCGACTTGGAACTGGCCCAGCAGCTTCAGCAAGAGGAGTACCAGCAGCACCCAGCGGCCCAGGCTGCCCCTGCCCGGGCCCCATCGCCGCAGGTGGGCCTGCTCCTCCTTGCCCTTGCTGCCGCCCCTCCAGCGTCCCCGCATCCCCAGCGTGTCACTCCACTCCGGCTTCTCCTGACCCAGACTTTTGTTATTCCCACCAGCACCTCTTCAAGGTTTCCCTCGGGGTCCTTCTGTCTGTCCCTCTCCCCTGGGTCCCCTCCTTTCTCTCTCTCCGCACAGCCCCTCCCAGTTCCGATCCCTGCTTCCATCTAGAGTCCCTGTCCTATGTTCTGCCATGGTCTATGGGTGACCAGCTGTTAAATCTGACACAGGGGAGAGGAGCCGCGTCTGGACGCCCAGCTGCTGAGCGTCGGCAAAGGCCGAAGCAAGAGTCCGACTGTGTCCTCCTGTAGCCCTGCTTGGGCCCGGCTGCCTTGCCTCCCCTTTCAGAGGTGGGGGCTATTTGCTTGCTCCCCCAGCTCAACTTGAGATATGCAGGGTAACTTATTTATGGGATATTGGGGATCAGAGCAGGCAGTGAATGCTGAGGTCAGACTTGGTGACCTCTTTGCCCTCATGTGCTGCCGCCTCTTCCTCCCAACCGTCCAGGGCAACATTGGGCTTGATGGGGTGAGGATTTCTGATTTCTAACTCTTTTCCCCCAGAATAGTCACATTAATGTACAGACTCAGGCTCCAGGGTGAAGTCCCTGTCTAGAATCCATCTCCACTACTATCCACCCCTGACTGGCTGGGTCATGCTACGGGCCCATCTGAATCCATCCATCCATCCATCCATCCATTTGTTTCAGGGTTTGATTTGGGTTTCTTATCTGTATTATTTGTAATGCCTTCCTAGGGGTTTGGAAATAAAACTTCTTTCCTGAAGTCTGTTGTTTGCCTTACCCTGCAGCTATGTGGTTAAGTATTTGACCCAATTGAGGAATGCAAAGCGTGGTGGGGGTGGGGGTGGTGCGGGGATGGTAAAGAGGCTAGAGGGGGTGGCCTGTCATTTCTAGTAGAGTCAGCAGGGGGAGCCAAAAGTCTGCTTTTTCCTTTCTTTGTTTTTTTCATGTGGTTGTTGCTGTTAACCCACTCCAGTATACTTGCCTGGAGAATTCCATGGACAGAGAGCCGGGCTCTCTGTAGGTTTTGCACACCCTACAGTCCCTAGGGTCGCAAAGAGTCAGACACGACTGAAGCGACTTAACATGCACACATGTTGTTTAGTTGCTAAGTCATGTTCACCTCTTGCCACACTATAGACTGTAGCCTGCCAGGCTCCGCTGTCTGTGGGGATTCTCCAGGCAAGAATGCTGGAATGAGCTGCCATTTCCTTCTCCAGGGGACCTTCCTGACCCAGGGGTCTTTACCCACTGAGTCACCAGGGACACCCCTTCTTTTGGAGGTAGTACTCTAATTTGGGAGGTGGGTTGCTAAGCCCCAGCTTTGGACAGATGAATTTGAGGATTGTGTGTCCTGCTGACCCACCCAAATGTTCCCATTCAGGGAAAGGGTAGCTTGATCCTTTGCTTGCTTCTCAGGTCATACAGATGGTCCTTTTCTATTTCTAGCCATTTCTGGCCTCGTGGTTCCTGGTTCCGACTTATTTTGCCTGAAATTTCCTGGGGAAGAGAGAATAATGTGGGTGAGGGGGGAGGCAACGAGGAGGCAGGCTGTTGACAACTGCAGTTTATAGCCTCAAACAGGACTCCTGTTGAATATCCAAGTGCACATCAAAGGCACCTCCAACTTCAAGGCCTCCTCCCAGCCGGTGTCCTGCTCCACCCAAACTTCAATCAGGGAACACAAATGACAGTGAAGTTTGCCAAAAGAAATCAAGCATCAGCGAGATGTTCTGGCCAGAATTCAGAAGAATGAATAGGACAGAAACTATCCAAGCGATCTCATTTTGCACACCCAGGACAGAGCTAGGGGACCCAGGTGCAGACATCACTTTAAGATAAGAGAAGTGAAGGAATTTAAGAGAAACTTTGAGTTCTGGCCTCAACAAGAAGCTGGAACATGTGGTGCTCAGTGAGGGGTTATCTTATTTGGAGGCCCAGCTGGTCTCCTGCAGGCTCAGCCAAACAAGAGAATCTCAGATCCTTGAACGTCATGCGGGGATGAGGTCTCAAAGGTCTTCCGCCCTGCACAGGGCTAGTAGGGCTGACCGGCAGCTCCCTTTCACTGCATCCTGCAGACAGGAAAGTCATGTTAGAGAGACCTGCCACCATCATGGCTCAGCACTCTGTTCTCTCCCTCGTGCTGGTCCAGAGCTTGTTTGGTTTCTAGAGTTCTGCTCTAAATTAACCAGAGACCCAGGAGTTCTCCAGGCCATGAATATGCTCCACTGTGTGCAGGGTGGAGGTAAAGGATGAAGCTCTGGGGCTCAGGTTAAGAACCAGCCAAGTCTCACCTGGAGGGAGGAGTAGAGGGACTTCCCATATTTCTTTCTGAACTCGGCTCGGATACTTAGAAGATCAGTCTCACTTCGAGAAATAAGGATGCGCGTCAGTGCTTGGTAATTGGGCTCAGTCTCCTGGTAGAGGAAGAAACAGAATGGGGTTGTGGTGGTAGGGAAATTCTCACAGGGCAGGGATTAGGCCACACAGTGGATTATTCTAGGGAGTGCTGATGAGGGAAGAGTCAAGGAAAAGAAAATATGCATTATCTAGGGGCAAACGTTATCTGTGTCCCTCCTCAAGGGAGACGGTGTGGCAGGAAAAATCAGTTGCTGTGGGGAATATTTACAGGAATATCATTCATTCCTTCCACATCTTTCCTGGCCTTGCCATTAGCTTCAAGTCTCACTCCAAGAGCAGGGCCTCAAGAAAGGATAGAGATGTGCTACCTGTGAAGACTTACAGCATGATCGTCAAGAGACTGTTAACAGGAATGTCCCATGAGGACACTCACCCTATCCCTAAACTGTCATCGGTTTCTCCTGGTTAGACCCGAGGTTCGGCATCATTCTGTTTCTCTTGTACCTGCAACAGGCCTCTTGCCTTTTGGTTAAAGACAGTAATGGAGGGTTCAGTTTAGAAATAATAGAGGTGTATGTGTGCACGTGTGCTAAGTCGCTTCAGTAGAGTCTGACTGTGCAACCCTATAGAGTGTAGCCTGCCAGGTTCTTCTGTCCATGGTGTTCTCCAGGCAAGAATACTGGAGTGGGGCACCATTTCTTTCTCCAGGGCAGGGGTCGAACCCACTGTCCTTTATGTCTCCTGCATTGGCAGGTGGGTTCTTTACCACTAGCGCCACCTGGGAAGTGAAAGTCGCTCAGTCGTGTCTGACTCTGCAACCCCATGGGACTATACAGTCCATGGAATTCTCCAGGCCAGAATACTGGATTGGGCAGCCTTTCCCTTCTCCAGGGGATCTTCCCAACCCAGGGATCGAATCCAGATCTCCCACATTGCAGGCAAATTCTTTACCAGCTGAGCCACAAGGGAAGCCCAAGAATACTGGAGTGGGTAACTTATCCCTTCTACAGGACATCTTCCCGACACAGGAATCGAACTGGAGTCTCCTGCATTACAGGCAGATTCTTTACCAACTGAGCTATCAGGGAAGCCCCAATAGAGGTACACCTGTGACCTGTGATGTTGCTCAGTCGAGTCCGACTCCTTGCGACCCCATGGACTGTAGCCTACCAGGCTCCTCAGTCCATGGGATTTTCCAGGCAAGAGTACTGGAGTGGGTTGCCATTTCCTTCTCCAGGGGATCTTCCCAACCCAGAGATCGAACCCGGGTCTCCCGCACTCCAGGCAGATGCTTTACTGTCTGAGCCACCAGGGAAGAGATATCATCAAATCAGGAGCTATAACCGATTATAATAATGTTATCATGAGAGATTTCTAAATAAACTATTTTGGTTGCAAAAATCCCGTTTGTGTCATGAGCTGGGCACTGCTGCTGTCACCATTTTCTAATACCCTCTTTTTCAGAGTTTCCTCAAGCACCTGACTTCTGAGACCCTTCCCAGAATTGCCTGAAACCCACATTTATGGCAACCCTACAGATCATAAACTCCTGGAAGAAACAAATGATGAAGGGAATATAGGATGCTGTATTTTATTTGGACTCATTACCTAATTGTCAGTGGGCCTGATGGCTCCTTTTTTTTTACACTTTTAATTTAATCTGATGAGTTTTTTTGCTGCACAGCTTGTGGGGTTCCATTTCCCGACCAGGGATCAGCAGTCAGAGCGCGGAGTCCTAACCACCGGGCTGCCAGGGAATTCCCCGATGGCTACTGTTTTGAATGGCACGTACCGTTGGTTTTGTATTGTGGTGAAGATTGCTGAATGCTTCCCAGTATCCCTTCTTCCCTTCTTGCAACTCTTGTACTCCACAGTTGTAGAACTGGGGTAAGAGTTGCTCACTAAGTGAATATTCCCAGGATGTAAAGTGGCTCTCTACATTAAACCTGTATCAAACATCATTCTTCTCTTGTTACCTGAGAGTATATTTGGCACCTGATACTGCCCTAGGATCTTTAGAAAGAACATTCATTTTATGGTTCAAATTGGCCTGAATTTGGACTGCAAGGAGATCCAATCAGTCCATCCTAATGGAAACCAGTCCTGAATATTCATTGGAAGGACTGATGTTGAAGCTGAAACTCCAATACTTTGATCACCTGATATGAAGAACTGACTCATTTGAAAAGACCCTGATGCTGAGAAAGATTGAGGGCAGGAGAAGGGGACGACAGAGGATGAGATGGTTGGATGGCATCACCGACTCAATGCAAATGAGTTTGGGTAAACTCCGGGAGTTGGTGATGAACAGGGAAGCCTGGCGTGCTGCAGTCCATGGGGTCTTAAAGAGTCGGACACGACTGAGAGACTGAACTGAACTGAACTGTCCTGAATCAGCCATCACTTAAAGGTCATTTTTCTGAATAAATATTTATCACAATTATGTTTTTACATATCTCCCATAAAAGAATAGTATGGAAGTGTCTTGACTGAGTTTTTTTTTTTTTTTTTTAAATAAGCCTGTATCACTTCTTGACTCCTTCTAATATTAAACCCACAATTTATATCCAGGAGTCTAAAGTCCTGTAATCCGAATACATTACAATCACTGCTGTAGTACAGGTTTGTTTCTATGACAGGAATTTAGATAACCACAACTTTTCAAGAGAATCCTAGTGTTCCCTCATTATAATAGTACAGAATTTATTGGATAAATACAAAAATCTACTGTCAAAATGGAAATCTCTGGAAGATAAAGTAAACGCTTCTAGATGCTTCCCTGATGGCTCAGTGGTAAAGAATCTGCCTGCCAATGCAGGAGACATGGGTTCAATCCCTGGTCCAGGATGATCCCACATACCACGGAGCAACTAAAGCTCGTACACCACAACTACTGACCCGAGCTGGAGAGCCCAGGAGCTGCAACTACTGAAGCCCGAGGGCCCTAGAGTCTGTGCTCTGGAGCAAGAGAAGCTGCCGCAATGAGAAGCCCACGCACTACAGCGAAGAGGAGACCCCACTCACAGCGACTACAGAAAGCCCTCACAGCCATGAAAGCCCAGCATGACCATAAATCAATAAATAAAAAGAAAATGTTTTAAGAAAGTTTCTATGTAACATATTGAATAGTTGTCAATAGGCATCATGGTTTCTCAACCAGTATACAAAAAACCATTCTATCTTTAAAGTTTGGGTGGGATTTTTATTGATAGGTCTTGGGGGACAGTTGTACTAGGACACCTAGTTGAATGAGCAGAATGACTGGATTCTGTTTATGAAATCACTCAAACCAAGATTGCCAATTTAAGTTTGGATTATATAGAACAAAGTCTGACCAGTATGGAGAAAGGTGATCTCGGGTTCCAAGAGTAGGCTATAGCTTATAGTATAGACCAACACCTATGGAATAGACTAGGAGTTGACATGTGGCAGTTAAATGCCCTATAGGATCATTATGTGTATTGTATTGTGTATGTGTATCATCATGTGTATAGGATCATTATGTGTATTGATCATTATGTGTATGTGTCTATATTGCACATATCATTATGTGTGCTGTGTGAACTTGGGCAAGGTATTTAAGTTCTCTGAGCTTCAGTTTTTTCGTCTATAAACAAGGATGGAGTGTTAATGTGAGGACTTACTGAAATGTGCTCAGCTGAGGCCCTGGCACACAAGGAGCCCCTCAGAAATGGGCGGCTCTTTCATTCTTCTTTCCAGTGTCATCACCACCCTCATTCTGGCAACAACTGAAGCTGGACAAGGCAGTGTCTTTACAGAGCAAATTCATATCTGTATTTGGCCACCTAGACATTCTTTAGGCCAAAAATTTTAGCTTTAGGGCCCTGATGGGTCAATGGACTTATCTCTAACCACAGCTCTCTCCTCTACTCTTGACAAGACAATTTGTAAACTTAGGAAAAGAGAGCTACTCGATGTTTACAAAGTAATATGAGATGGTTACACTAGCAACAGCATGAAACTTCCTCTCTCTTGCCCAAGAGGTGTCTCCCAAGCAAGGGGAAAGGAGCGTCAGTCTTACCTGGAGGGCTTGATGAAGTTTATCAGCAAAGTACAGGGGTGTGTTCCGAATCACCAAGGCTGGAAGCAAAGAGGCAAAGATGGAGAGAGACCACCAACCACAATTCCACAGGAGGCCTCTGCCCCATGGTTCCAAGCAGACCCCTTACCTAGGCTGAGCAGAGCCACGCAGGCGGCTCCGTGGAAACGGGCCCGGACAGTCTTCTCCAACTCATGCCCCGTGTCCCACTGGTACTGGTTCAACACTGTGGTGAACACGGGAGGGAGTCAGAAAAATAAGTGGGGGAGGGGTGGTTATCCCAGAGAAGGATGAGCCCTCCCCACCTTCCTCAGCCAGAACTCATCATCAGAGGAAGCTGGGGAGACCAGAAGACTCCTGTGTACCTCGGACGAGGTGTTCGGGATTGCGCTGGGTGAAGACAAGGACCCACATCCTCTCTGTGCTGGGTCCTTCAGCCTGCTTTAATGCCTGGGAGCAGGGAGTAAATCAGAATCATTGGTTGGGGGGTTGGGGGGCCACGGTTATGGTGTTCCCAGAATCCATAAACATGGAAAAGCTTATTTTAACCTATAAATTAGTTCCTTTTATTTATCTGTGTAGCATAGCATGCGGGACCTTAGTTCCACAACGAGGGATCGAACCTATGTCCCCTGCCGTGGAAGGAATTAAATAATCCCCAAATGCCCATGGGAGGACAATGTGTGAGTTCAGGAGTCAGAGGCCAGATGAATGGAAAAAGCTTCATGTGTGATACTGCCTGACACCCCACGTCCGCCTTACATCACTGAGGATTCCTTCCCAAGGCAAGGACCGTTTTGCAGGACAAGTGGGAACACAGGTCACCAGCTCTAAGATACAGTGTCTTCCGTGCACGTGCACACTCCCCCGCCCCTTGCTCACCTGGACGTCCTGTGCAGCCAGGTTATAGTCAATGATTCCAGTATAGGCCTCGCGGCCCCCCTAGAAAGAAAAACTCTCAGGAGGACTCTTTGGAGGGCAGTTTTTTATCACCAGACCAACAAACCAAACCTTCGTCTCCCCCCAGAGCCCTCTCCTGCTCATTACACCACAGCTGGGTGCTCCCCAGTGGGGCAACTCCCTTCCGCCCAGACCGGACCCCTTACCTTGGCCAGGGCCAGGAGCAAGTCCCGCAAGATGCCTCTGGTCTCAGACTTGATGTCCTCCGCAGCATCCACTTGGAAATCTGGGATGGGAGCAGGAGCTCTCTGAATCCTCCTGACTTTTCTCAATGAGGATACCTCCAGGACCAGTCAGATGGCTGTGCCCTGTCAATCCCGCTGTCCCCTGCTTGATGGCCGCTAGTTCCCAGGATATAAGGCAGAAGCACCACCGTGGCCACCCTGAAAGCATCTCTAAGCTGCGAGTAACCTGTGCGCTGTGGGGTGGCCTCATCTCCTAGTGCCAGACTGCTGGGGGCGGGAGGCAATCAGTTACTTGAGTGGTGGCCAGACAGTGAAAAGAGGATGCGGCTGCCCATATTGTGAAGCAAGATGGCTAGGGTTGGGCCCCCTCCTTGGAGGTGGGGTGAAGTGATGAGGGAGGTAAAATGTGAAGAAAGGAAAGAGCAGGAAAGGGAGAAAAGGAAGGGGAAAAGAGAAGCAGGAAGGAAAAGGGGTAGGAGAGGAGTTAAGAAAATAGGCCAAAGGACTTCCCTGGAGGTCAAGTAGTTAAGACTCCACACTTTCATTGCAAGGCACGCTGGTTCCATCCATGGTTGGGGAACCAAGATCTCATATGCCTGGGATCTTTTGGCATGGCCAAATAGTTTAAAAAAAAAAAGATAGGCCAAGGTGGGACATCAAAGGAAAACTGGGGAAAGCAAGAAAAAAGAGGGGGTGTGTTAAGATGAGGGTGAGAAAAAACTAGCCACCAATTAGTGGGTGAGGCATGTGGCAGTCACTGCAGGGACAGCAGCCAGGGGCCGAGAATTGATACCTACAAAAGCAGGTCCCCACCTTTTCCCCTGGCTGCCTCGAGCGTCCATTCAGCCTGGGACGTGGCATAATGGCAGAATCAGCAAGGGGCTGGGAAGGTGACTAGGGTGCCCTTGGGACTGTCACAGGGCTCAACCTTGTCATTACCTCAGGATCCACCCTGGAGCCCCAGACTATGACGGTTAATGATTGCTTCTCTCTCTTTAATAATGACAACTGGCTGTCTCCCTGGGGAGACTGAGCCCGGCGGGGTGGGGTGGGGGAGGAGGAAAGACCCCAAGGGAACAAGAGGCGGACAGGCTCCCACAGGGCTCCCTGCAGGGAGTGCAGGGGAGGCAGGACTGTCCTGTCCAGCCCTTAGAGCCCCATCCTCCACACCCTTACTGTGTTTGTAGACTGCCAGGCACTCCCGCAGCTGGGGTGGGGTTCGGGTGGCAAGAATTTCCAAGGCCACATCTTCAGCAGAACCTGAGCCCTACAAGAAATTGGGAAGCCACTCTGAGACTGAGCCATGTCGTTAGAATGGCGGGGAGCAGACACTGACCATTTGTCCTTTTGAGGGGTAACAGGGACTACTTTTCCAGGGGGCTTCTGCCAAGTCCACTCCTCTGGAGTGGGCAAAGGCAAGGCAGTCAACCCTTTCTTTCCCTCAATGGGGTCATCACTCCTGGCAAAGCTCCTCTCCTGGTATCTTCAATGAGCTTAGTTCCTCAGTCCTGTCCAACTCTTTGCGACCCATGGACTGCAGCCCACCAGGCTCCTCTGTCCATGGGGATTCTCTAGGCATGAATACTAGAGTGGGTTGTCATGCCCTCCCCCAGGGATCTGCCCAACCCAGGGACTGAACCTAGGTCCCCGCAATGCAGGCAGTTTTTACTATCTGAAGCACAAGGGAGGCCCAAGAATACTGGAATGGGTAACCTATCCCTTCTCCAGGGATCTTCCTGACCCAGGAATTGAAGCGGAGTCTCCTGCACTGCAGGTAGATTCTTTACCAGCTGAGCTACCAGGGTACCTTCAGGGCTTTCCTCAATTCCCGGGCATCGAGATGGGCTGCAGGCTGCAGCAGAGCAACCACGATCCTCTCCAGGTTGCCAGAGAGTGCTGCCTGCAAGGACTTCAGTAGGTCCTACAAGAAACAGTCCCCACGGCAGAGGAACGGCATGAGGGGGAGAGTCCCAGGTGTGTGAGGAGGTTTGGGAATATTTGGCTGGTTCTCATCTCAGACCTAACCACCAGGCTTCCCTTCCCCCCACAGCCTAGGTTCAGCAGGGGGTAAGGGCTGGTCTCAACTGCTCTTGTGCCAAGTTTCCTGGGGGCTTCTCCCCCCAGCCCACGGCTCCTGGGAATCAGTGTGGTCTCACCTGCTGGGTGCGTTCGTGGAAGGCTCGAGAGATGAGCTGCCTTTGCTCTCGGCTCCGGTTGGTCAGCACGTCCAGAATGGCAATACAGTCCACACCTGAACCAAGGTGAGGGCTGGCCTGTGAGCCTGGCAGAGCCCTGTCAGAGTCTTTACAGAGCTGAGATCCCCTTATTCCTTGACTTGAAGCCTCGAGAGGAGGAGATGACAAGGTCTAGGAAAAGCTACACCCTCCCTACTACCATTTGATCCTGAAGAAGTTGCCAATGGCATGTAACTCTGATCCAAAGTTAAGCAAAGGTGGCCTGGTACAGTGCAGAAAATGGCCTTTTGGGATCACAGGCTTGCTTTAGAATCCCAGCTCTGCAATATTTTGAGCTGTGTGATCTTGGGCAAGGCTTTTGACCTCCCTGAGCCCCAGTTTCCTCATCTGTGAAACGGAAATAGTATGACTTGCCTCAGAGGGGCGTTGTGAAAATGGAGATAAATACCTACTGGGTACCAGACACACAGGAATGAAGGCATTCCACAAAGATCTATTGAGTGTTGTCAGTTCCTCCTTCTAGCTCCTTGGTCTACAGGCTGGTTTCTAAAAGATAGATGCCCAAGCCAAGCGCAGAGGGAAAGGGCTCACCTTGGCCTGCTATGGCCTTCAGCAGCCTCTGTACATCCTTGTCCACACTGAAGCTCAAGAAGGTTCTGAGGGTGCCCAGGGTGCCCCAAGCGGCTGTCTGTAAGACATGTGGGTACCAGAGTCTGGCTGTGATCCTCCCCAGTGCCCCCGCCAAGCCCTTGGCATAGCCTCAGGCTAGATCTTCCTCTCCTACTCCTCACCCCCTCCCCCTCAGCCTCTGCATTAATATAAAAATAATTTTTAAAAATAATTCCTACAATCCCAACAGCCCTTACCTTGTTGGCAAGGCCCAGGTGACTGAGTATCTCCTGAGTCAAGGAGAGTCCCATCTTCCCGTGGGTCACAGACATGGTGCTACTGGCTGCCCTGGGGGGAGGGACACAGGAGCCGACTGAGGGAACATCCCCCTAGCCCCTCAGGGCCTCTTTATGACCCCCAGGCCTGGGAGCCCTTTGCCCACTCCTTTCCCTTGTTGCAGAAAAAAAGAACAACCTGCTTGGCAGGTTGGGGAGCCCAAGTGGAAGGTAAGAAGGGTGCCCCCACCTTCCCCACCACTCACCGTCGTTCAGGAAGCAAGGCTTGATCAGGGATGCTGCTAGAACTAGCGCCAAAACAGAGCCTCCCAGACTCTGGGGCTGGTCCCCAGGCTCCCCAGCCCGAGGTCTGAGATGGCTGATCCCCTACTGAGGTCCACCTCCCCCTCCCTGCCATGGCCTGGCTGGCTGTTCCCGGGGCAGTGTGGGGGAGGTGAGGATTAATATGCAGGGTGGGAAATAACAGCAGCTCCCCTCACGTCAGCCCCAGACTACAAGGGAGACTGTCACCTGCCCGTCCGCTCCCACCGCTGTGCTGTGTGCCTTTCACCCTCGGAGTCTCCCGCTGGAATCTTTAGGTCAGCAGCTGCAGTCTCTGAGCTGAGGTGAGTGTGTGTTCTTGTGGGTACATGGGTACCTGGAGAAGTAAGCAGGCACTCATGTTAGAAAAGTCCTTTCTCCCTCCCCCAAGTCATCAACGAGTTCCTACCAGTCTCCCCCCTCACCCAGCATGAGAGCCCAGGTCGGTGCTTACCCAGAGGTGCTGGGGGCGAAGTGGGTGTCGTCAGAGCCTGGCGTGGTGCCTTGTGTGGCCTGGGACAGGTCAGCGGTGTGTGCCGCCCAAGCTGAACGGCCAGTCAGATGACCTCTGCGCCAGACCAGCCCGCCGTCCTCGGGCTCTGGCCCCTCCCAACTGTGGGAGAGGACCAGGCTGTACCGCGTCCCACATGTAGACACCTCCCTACAGCATCTCTCCTCCCAGGACCTGGCCTCAGCCCAAACAAGAGAAGTCCGCTGGCCTCTCAGCAGCTCGGTCCTGACACAGGAGGCTTTGTGCACTGCTTTCTCTGCGGGGCTGGGTTGGGACCACAGAAGCCCAGTCTCTGAGTCCAGTTTCTGACCTGGCTCTGCCTCTGCCTCTAGCTCCCTGGGGGGGGCAGGTCAGACAGGCTCCAGGCTGATTTGGAGGCTGATAGAGAAAAACCTGTTGGGGCACATACCAGTGGGGCACCCCAGCCTGCACCCCAGAGGGGTCCCAACCCAGAAACTGCCTTGATGATTGCCTTACTGGAGCAGTAGTGAGGGGGAGTGATGGGAAGAGTAGGGCGGGGAGACTGTAAACCACTGGGGAAGGAAGAGCACAGGTGTTTCTGGGTGGGGGAAGATCAGTAGAGTCAGGAGAGAAAAACGTGAAGGGTAATCCCTGTGGACAGAAGCATCGTGCTCCCAAAAGGCAACAGGGAGATGAAGGAGGCTCCCTGAGTCCCTGCGTCAGATTTCTTCTGTTGCCTTTTAGCAGCCAGGACTATTTTAGCGGTAGGTGATGCAACTCCAGCAGCTTTCTTGGAGGCTGTCAGTGCACAGAACAGCAGGTAAACAGTCTTAGGGAGCCAAAGGGGCCCCTGAGCAGGCAATTACTTGAATCTCACAGACAACTCCCTAGGGCCTAGGAGCAGTCTCCTTCCTGCAATGCTAGACAGGTCAGGCAGGGGCTGGGCACAGAAGCTATCTGTACTTCTCCGCCATGCTCCTACCCTGGAAGGTCCTCATTGGTTTACCTACATCCCTGAGGAAGGACCAGCTGCTCATCCTCAGAGCAGACCAGGCCTAAGGAAGTGCTGTAAAGGGAGATTTCCATGGTGACAATCACTGCACCTCACTTTTCTCTCCTGTTAAAGGGGAAAGCATGCACCGATTTTTGCTGAAGGATGTGGGTTCAGTCCCAGTTCTGCCACTTGTTATGTTCTATAACCTCAGCTAGTCATTTCAGGTCTTCATGTCTCTGTTGGAAAAAAAACAGGGGGGGGGAATAATGGGAGAGGATGAAGTGTTGTTGGCAGGGTTTGGGAGAGTAGGAGGGTTGGGTGATTGGAGGGGGAATTCTGGAGCACCTGGGAATAGGCTTCCTGGGGGGATTAAATGAAGTAATGTGTGATGACATTTGAGACAGAAAAATGTCCTGTAGGGCAGTCGAGTGGTTAAGATTCCATGCTTCCATTGCAGGGGGCACGGTTCAATCTNCCAGATTCCTTAGACTTAGAATTCTGGTCTGCTGTGTGACTCTGGCAACCACTTTAACATTTCTGTGCTGTTTCTTTCTTGTCAAAACAGAGATTAAAAAAAAAACCTGGTGATAATAGCAGTGTTTATATTATAGGCTATTGTGAGGATTAAATAAATACATGCAAAGCACTTTAGGAGAGTGCTGGGCGTTGAATGGTAACTACATGTAAAATACTAACTGATTTGTAACAATACATATGTTATAATGTTATTTTATAGTAACATCATAATGTTATAATGTTATTCTATAGCATCTCCCTAAGAATTGCAACCTTGGCTCTCTTCTGCAGCGTCTTCCTTCCAATCCCGGATCTGGCCACAAGAGGCCATCAAAAGCCACTGCAAGGGAGCCTTGAGACCACCCCCTGGTGGCCACTAGTGGTCTAGGAGGCTCTGACTCCCCTTGGTATCCGAGGGGGCTCTCTTGGCCCAAGGACATGAAGTTCCCCAGAGGACTCCATGGGCAGGTAGAGTCGGGGAAGAGCCTCAGGTAGACATTTACTCCAGGGGCCCCGCTGAGACGAATCTCAGCACACATGCAGGAGACTTCTAGGCTGGGTTATGGCAGAAAAGCAGCTCCACAGCCAGGGTCCCTGGGCCTTTGGCTTTCTGTACCCTTGAGAATCTCTTTTGGGCATGTTCCAAGTAGGCTTAGGGGGAAATGAAGGGCAAAAGAGGGCTCCTGTTTCTCCAGCCTAAACCTCTGCAAGGTAATGCTGGCTGACCTGCAAGGCTGAATACTGAACTTGGAGGAGGCAGAAGAGCAGTCCTTGTTGCCTAGCATTATGAGGAGGTATGTGATGCATTTACAGATGTCTCTCTGAAACTGGTGGAAGCTTTACTTCTTTTGTTCCTGGGTTTTGTTTTGTTCAACTCCAGGGTCAGATTGAGGCCTTTTTCAGATTTACTAAAGCACCCTCCAGGGTGTCCTGGTGGCTCATCGGTAAAGAATCCTCCTACAATGCGGGAGCTGCAGGAGACACAGGTTTGATCCCTAGGTAAGGAAGATCCCCTGGAGAAGGATTTGGCAACCCACTCCAGTATCCTTGCTTGGAGAATTCAATGGACAGAGGAGCCTGGTGGGCTACAGTGTATGCGGTCGCAAATGAATTGGACAAGACTAAGCGACTGAACAACAGCAACAAATCACCCTCCGTACCCACGCTCTAAGTCTTAGAATTTCAGAGCTGGAGAAGATCTTGGGATGACCTGACCTACCACCCTCTTGTTACTGACTCAAGGAGACTGAGTGACTTCCAAGGGCCATGGTGTTGGAACCAGAATCCAGGTCTCCTAACTTCTCAGTGTTTTCCTCATCACTAAGATGAGAAGGTCAACTGAAAAAAAAAAAAAAAAAAAGCACAACGTAAAAGTAGAGAATTATGTTTTATTTGGTGGACAGTACTTAAGCCTGGAATGCAGCCTCTCAAATAGCTCTGAGGGACTGCTCTGAAGAGGTAAGGGAGGAGCCAGGATACATAGGAATTTTGTAACAAAAACTAGGTAGTCAGAATATCAAAAGATTACTGTTTATTTTTATTTTTTTTAAGATTACTGTTTATTAAGGAAAACAAGACATGTCAAGTTAATGAATGTAGTGCTTCTTTATGTAAGGAAAGATGCAAAAGTCTGGGCTCGGTGAAACTATCCCTTTGATATGTATCTCAGCTATCTGGGGCCAGTATCCTTTGTTTTCCCATCCTAAGTCTCCTCAGGGTGCACCACTGTGGGAGTGACTGCAGTGGCTGATAGCTTAATGGAAGGCATCCTATTTTTGTTTTGAGTTCTCTTAGGACTCAACGTCCTGGCAGCTATAATACGATGGCTCCATGGCTGCAATAGCCTTTCTTTACTGATATGGTAGGCAACATTTTTTCTTTAAGAAGGACATGACTGACTTGGGGTCTCCTCGTAGGACAAGCAGCAAGTAACATACAGAGCCATAGCTATTGACTCATGAAAACTTGTTCAGCTCTAGGCCCCGATTGCTTTTCTGCCCTCTGCATGGGTTTCAGAATACACAGAAATTCCTCCTGGCTATTTCTCCTCTTGTTATAAAACTTTTTTCCCCAGAATTCCTTGCATCTTAATCCCTCTGCTCATGTTTTGGCCAAACTCTACTCTTTATATCTAGAGTCTTGTGTGTTACACAAGCAAGCCTGACCTGGGAAGACCAAGACCCATTTCCACAACTAGAGTCCACATCTTTGCCTGCTCCAGATACCTAAATGCCAGGCCAAAGGCCTATTTGTGTCCTCTGCCTCCGGACACCTCAGCAGCCGATACAGAGGAAGTGAGTCACTGCAAGGCGGGCAGCTTGGGGCACTGTGGGCGTGGCCATGCCAGGGCTGGGTGGTGGGGGATGGGTCAGAGTGATCAGGACCTCCGGGTCCAAACTAGGCAGAGAGCAAGAGTTTCTAAACTGGTTGTGCTCAGGTGCTCAGTCATGTCCAACTCTTTTGGGACCCCATGGACTGTAGCCCGCCAGGCTTCTCTTCCAAGGAATTTTCCAAGCAAGAATACTGAAGTGGGTTGCCATTTCCTACTCCACGAGATCTTCCTGACCAGGGATTGAACCTGTGTCTCCTGCATTGGCAGGTGGATTCTTTACCACTGAGCCACCAGGGAAGCCCCTTCTAAACAGGCAGCATCATTCTAATGCTGCCTGAGGCCCAGTTTCTCTTTCTCCATCCATCTTCTCCTTTGTCTCCTGGGGGAGGGGTATACCCTCTTATCTTTACTTTTCAGGCCTGTCTATTCAGCTTCAGCCCCAAACGTCTCCTCCCACTGCTATCTTAAAGTTAACTGGTCTTCAGGGCTCTGAGGAATCATTTATAAAGTCTGGTGAGGACCTTGGGGAAGTCTAGGAAAATTGCCTGAGAAAAGGGCTCAGAAACTAAAGAAGGAGAGCCAAGTAAGACAGATCTGGTAGGCCCCAAAGTTTAGCTGGGGCCCAAAGAGGAGACACTGGAACCCTACTGGAAAAGGGAATCTGTGGAGGGCACTCAAGAAAGGTGGGGGCAACTTTGGAATTGGAGGGGGTTGTGGTGGGGGTGGGTGGGTTGTGGCAAAGGTGTAGAAAGGATATGACTTGCAAATAAAGGAGTTTACCCTTTGGCAAATAATTAAAGGCTGGAGGGATTGCTGGAAACTGGAAAATCAGGCAAATCTGGGGCTGAAAAAGGCTAGAGAGTCCTCTGGGTACTGGTTCAGTGGTGAGGGGCCTGGGGGTGGGCCAACAAGTCTCATTTCCCCAGTATTGGTCTGGGCTGGGGGTGCCCACTACAAAAGTAAAGGAAAAGTCGGAAATCAAACAGCTTCTGCCTCTCTACCTCTCCAGATAGGGTCTTCAGTGAGGAAAGTGAAAGGAAAGTGAAAGTAAAGTGACCCCATGGACCGTAACCTACCAGGCTCCTCTGGGGGTGGGTTGCCATTTCCTTCTCCAGTGGATCTTCCTGACCCAGGGATTGAACCCGGGCCTCCCACACTGCAGGAAAGCACTTTAACCTCTGAGCCACCAGGGAAGCCAGAAAGGGAAAGGGTGCTAAGAGGTTTGGTTAAAGTGAAAGTCGTCCAGTTGTGTCTGATTCTTTGTGACCCCATGGACTATAGAGTCCATGGAATTCTCTAGGTCAAAATACTGGAGTGGGTAGCCTTTCCCTTCTCCAGAGGATCTTCCCAACCCAGAGATGGAACCCAGGTCTCCCACATTGCAGGCAGATTCTTCACCAGCTGAACCAAGATCTCAAACTGGATGAGCGAGAAATCACATTCTTTCCTAAGAAAACTGTCAAAACACCTGAACTTGACTAGATAAACTCTGAAACAAGCTGCCCTCAGAGGTTCTAACTGTGACGGTATAAAAACACCAACATTTCATTAAGGTAAAAAATGGTTAGCTCTGCTAGGCGGGCCCTCTCTCTAAACAAACCCTCAAACACATCTTAGTCACACTCTGTCCTCCTTAGGAATCAAGGCCAGTTTTCTAGGATAAACATGTTACATCTTCCTGAAACATCAATTTTACCAGTCTAGGGGAAAAACATTTTATTTTTTTTTGGGGGGGGGGACATTTTAAAATATGAATTTGAACACGGGTAAGCAGTGGTCTACATTGAAAACTCAAATACGTTTTACACAGCAAAAGTTGGGGACTGGCTCCTTCAGTCTGCCGGCAGTAGGGTATGTGTGCCACTGGGGGCTAGATTTTACAGCACTGGTGTGGAAACGGTGGGGATTTTAAGGCCGGGCTGGGGTGGGGGACGCCCTAGGGGTCCCAGCCGAATCTCGAGGGCCCGTTGCCCGGGTCGGTCCTGGAGAGGTGCTGGGCCTCGGCACGCGGCCCTTGGGAAGGACCCGCAGGGGCTGCGCGGGCCGGGGGCAGGGGCGCCCTCTTCCCTCCTCTGCCCGGTGGGGCTGGAGGTGGAAAGTGTGTCCATCGGTCGGGCCCCTGAGAGAACTGGGGGCCGCAGCCGGCCGGAGGGCGAGGGCCGCAGTTGGGGGCTGCCGGGGTGGTGCAGGGGTACGACCGTTCCGAGCCCCTCGCCCCTCGCGGGTTTGTCCCGGGGTCCTCGGAGCGCGCCCCTAACCGAGACCAGAGGCTGGGAGACCCCACACTGCCTCCCTCATCGGGGGCTTCTTCCCCCCGGTGCAGCGCCTGCAGTGGGGCTCCGCCGCTCGCCGGGTGCAGCGAGGGCTCGGCTCCCCAGGTTCCGCCACCCGCCCCCGGCCGGGGTGGGGGCGGTGGCAGGCGGCGGGGGCTGGGCGCGGCTACCCCGCGCGGAGGCCCGGGCCCCGCCGCCCGCCCGCCCTCCTCTCCCCTTCCGTCGCCGGGCCGTAGGCCCACGCCCAGTCTCCCGGCTCCTGTGTTGCTCGCGGCCTTTCTTTCCCGGGCTGGCTGGGCTCGCTCTCGGCTCGGCTGGGCTCGGCAGGCGGCGGGAGGAGGAGGAAGGAGGGAGGGAGCGGGCAGGCGGGCGGGCGGGCGGAAGGGGGAGGAGAGGAGCGAGCGGAGCCAGTCCGGAGGGGGCCCGGAGCTCGGACGAGGGGAGAGACGGAGCAGTGGCTCCCGGCCGGGCCAGCTCCGCGACGCCGCCGCCGCCGCCGCCGCCGAGTGAGTCGGGACCCGCGCCCGGGAGTCCGCGGCGCCGCGCGCTGGGGTGGGGCGGCACGGGGCACGGAAAAGTTGGGAGAACTGCGGGGTCCGCGAGGACGCGGCTCGGCGGACAGGGCCTGGCGGGGCCCGGAGCGGGCCGTGGAGGGGAGCGGGGCGCGGGCGCACACGCTCGGGCGGCCGGGCGCTCGGCGCCGCCGCTGGCTCAGGGGCCTCTGCCCGGCGCGCTCATGGCGGCGGGCCTGGCGGAGGGCGGGCCGGAGCGCCTCGCGGGAGCGGCCGGGCCCCCAGCGCCGCCGGAGGGCAGGCTGGCCGGGCGCCCGGGCGTCCTGGAGCGCGCCGCCCGGAGCCCGGAGGAGTCCTCCTGGGCAACAGGTAGGAGCTGGGAGTCCCCTCGGCGCTGGGGACGCGGGGCTGCCCACGGACGGACCCCCCGGCGCCCTTTTGTTGGGGAGGAGAAAGTCCGGTGAGCAGTTGCACGGGAGCCCCCTGGCTGGCCGAGAGCCCGCGGCGCGGCCCCTGGCTGCGGATCCCGTGTCTAGAGTGAGAGGAGGGTGAAGGGTCTTGCTTTTTCTAATCGGTTCACTGTGCCCACTCCCTGAGGGAGGTCAGAGCGTCCATGTGCTTAACGGGAAACAGGAAGGAGTGGCTCAGAGTGTTTGCCCCTGGCCCCCGCCCCGTGGCTAAGGCTCTTATACCGTTATGGGGTGTGTGGGGCAGGGGTAGGGGGAGCTGCTGGTGAAACTGGTTTTCTGGGCCTCACCTTGCTAATTTCTGGCCCGGAGGCTCTCTGGCAAGTAGGTTAATTGCACGTGTGTGGTGTTAATCTTTGGCCTGAGTTTAGAAGTTCACTTCCTAAGGTAGACTCTTGGTGTCAAAATCTGATCCTTCACCTGAGTTGCCAGATACAGGAGATAGGGGGTTCTGAGGATCCTGAGGAATGGAGTGAGCCCCCCTTTCCGGAGAAGTGAATCAGGAGAGGCCTCCAGCAGGCAGTCGCTCCAGCATCTGTGTCAGCAGAGGTTGCAGCCCCACAGCAGAGCCCAGGTGGCTGGGCCTAATGTGGGTGGCTGACTGGGCTTGTGATGGGGCCCCTAAGGGTAAGGACTTGTCTGCAGCCTCCTGCCTCAGGGCCTGACCCTAATCATACAGTGACCTGCACAAACCCTGTTTTGAAGAGAGAGAGTTCCTTGTCTTCCTTGGTACCCCACAATCCACTCCCTTCAATCGGGCCTCTGGCCAGCTTTCCCCCTGGGAGGGAGGGCCTCCACTTTCCCCCCCGGCACCGGCCACAGGCTGGCCAATCCTTCACTGTGCTTTTAGCATGCCCCCCACTCCCATCCCCATCTACTTATTGAACTTGCCAGTCATTCCCTCCCCCTATGGGCTGTAGTCTCATGCAATCTTTGGCTGTGTTGGGGCCGTAGAAAAACTGAAATTTTGAGGTGCGGAGAGATGACATACCTCTTCTCGGCTTCATCCATTACTCGCGGCTTTCTAGTTTGTGACCTGGTGTAGCTGCCTGAAAACGTTTTCAACAAGGTGGACTATTCAGGTCCTCTTTCACTTCTTTCCACTTCTTTTTTGTAGTCCATCAGGCTCCAGTGAAAGCTGGGAGCCTCTGGGATCCTGTCTTTTTCACTCTCTCTTCCCTTACTGATCATATTGTATCTTCTTCAATTATTTCTCCAAACTCTGAGAGCCTTGAGTCTGTGAGATCTCTTCCTCATAGCCTCAAACTTCAGCCCTCTTAGCAGCCTCGGTCTACAAGTCCCCCTGGGGACTCTCTGCCCCTTTTCATCTGTCTGAGGGTCTGGGACAGGTCAGTCAGAGTTGGAGCAAAAGGTAGCACCTGGGTGGAGCTCTGTTCAAGTTCCTGGTAACCTGATGCCCACGAAATCCCTGCTTCACTGGCCGTTCTCCAGCCTGTGCCTCATAAAGTGGTGTCTGTGTCTCTGAGGCAGGTGTATTTGTGCGTGAGAGAGACAGACACATGCACACACCCTATTGTCTCTTCATGTGTGTGTGGGAGTAAATCGTTTGAGTGAAAAAATACCAATAGGTGTGATTTTCCTCACCAGGAAATTAAGTAATGTGACCCAGAAAAGCAAGGGTGTCTCCCTGTCATGAAGGCACATCCCCTTTTCTTGACCCACCTTTTTGTTTGTGGGATCCATTGCTTGGCTTGGTGTGCCAGGGACGCCACTAGGAGTGGACTGGTTTGTTCTGTGGGGATGGGTATCTGCAGCCGGCGGGCCTGGCCCGGGAGCCCCGGTTGTCTTCCCTTCCCCGTCACATGGAGTCCGAAGTCCTGACCCTGCTGAATCCGGTGCCTCTTCCTGCGGGCTAGGTCCCAGGGGGTGAGGGCAGGGTTGAGGCCACCATTCCTCTGCTAATGGAAGTGCTGGGCAGTAGGGGAGGGCTGTGGTCACAGAAAGCCTGAAACCCGGGTGTGAGAGAGGCCCCATTCAGAACTCCCGACACATCACACTCTCTGCTCACTCTGTCTTCTGTTCTCCCTGCTTGGAGCAGGCAGGGGCCAGGTGCTATCTTGTCCTGGGGTTGAGATAGTTGCACTGTCCAGGCGCTTGCCTTTGATCCATCTCTGACTTTTTGCCTGCTTCTGCAGCTCCTCACCTTTGTAAGCATGAGGCATTCCTGGGCTCCCGGGAGTCACAGAGAGGGATTCTACTCAGCCTCCAGGATCCCAGCCAGCCCTCTGAATCTTTAATCCTCAAAATATCTGTGACAAAAGAAACTTACCTGCTGTTTTCCACTGACCAGGGTAGGAATGGGGCCCAATGTCTAGGCCCGACAGTACCCTTGGCTTTAGTCCTCAATGGAGGACAAATTGGGCTCCAAGGGACTGGCAGTCAGGTGACTGAGTCAGGTCTGTTTCTTCACCTCCAATCAGACTAAGCGAAGAAGGTGGCAAGAGGAGCCGGAGGTGTGCCACCACATGTAGGCTCTCTGCCTTGTCTCTTCTCTACTAAATTTTCTACAACTTCTCTCAAAGAAAAAAGTGTGTCTGTGTGCACTGTCGTCTGGGGAGAGTTCTACTGTGATAACTGTTTAGTTTTGTTCAGTTCCAAAGGCTTCCATCTCTTTAACTAATTAAATATTTATTCTGGCCAAGGTGGAGAGGGAAGGGGCAGTGTCCTCAGGAGCTGAGGCCCGGAATGTGTGTGTGTGTGTGTGTATGTACATATGTGTGTACGTTCGTGTGCTGTTGGGGGCGGGTGGAGCTGAAACTCCTTTACTGTCAGCGCTGCCCTCTGCTTTCATCTGAAAGAGCAGTGACCAGGAGTGGGGACAAGAGGGTAAAGTCCTTGAGCTGAAATACTGACCCGTGACAGGCTGAGAGGGATTTCGCAAGTGCTTCTGTGGTGGGTGGGGGCGGAGCTGTTGGAGGAGCAGCCCAGCTCAGCTGTGATATGATCAGCCTTCAGCAAGGCACCAGTTGGTCTCCAGTTCACAGCAGAGAACAATCTCCCAGCTCTCGTTCCTCCGCAGCTGGGAGGGGACCACCTTCCTTCTGTGTCAGCTTTTAGTCTCAAGGCCAGCCTGGAGACCGCCCACCTGGCCTCCCTCCTGGGAGGATGAGGGCTTGGTAGCCTGGAAACTTTGCCTGTCATCCTACTGGGTTCACTGCTGAGTCCTAGGACTGCCGATTGTTGTGTGGACCAGTATCGCTGATTCTACAGGATCATCTTGCTGCTTCTCTCAGCTCCAAGCAGCTGCTGTCCCCGCGTGAGCCTCAGATCGTACCCTCCTTCATTCGGGTATCCAAGTGGTCACCACCACCCTGTAGATCCTTTCTCTTTCCGTGGACAAAACAGGGGAGGGAGGTGGTACAAAACAGCAGCTCTTTGCTGAGCACTGAGGGTATTTGTGATGGGTGTTCCCTGAGAAGACTAGTATTTTATTTTCTAGAGGAGCCTTAATACAAAATAGCTCCTAATTCTACCAGATGTCTTAATCTGCTGTATCGACTCTCTATCCTCCAACCCCTGACTCCCTGCAGCCTTGTCTTCATTTTGTTTCTGAGAATAGGCTTCACATACAATTCTTCTGCCTTATGTTTGGGAATGGATGGCTTGGGCATGGGCTGTTAAGCTTGTGTGCAATATTTTGATGTCCATTGATTGTCCTTGAGCTCAGCACTATTTGGGGGCATAATTTTGGTTTATTCTGGCCTCTTAATTTTCCCTAGGACCTGCTGCCCCAGTGGGTTATAGGGAAGGGGGAGGAACGTCTTGCCCCAGCCCTGCAACCCTTTCTTGGGTTCCCTGGCAAGGAAGCTTCCAGTAATGGGTTGATTGGGGAGCTCTGGTGGTTCAGATGGTAAAGAATCTGCCTGCAGTGCAGGAGACCTGGGTTTGATCCCTGCATCAGGAAGATCCCCTGGAGAAGGGATGGCTACCCACTCCTGTATTCTTACCTGGGGAGTTCCATGGACAGAGAAACCTGGCGGGCTACAGTCCATAAAGTTACAAAGAGTCGAATATGACTGAGTGACTAACACTTGGGAGCTCTAGGAAGAGGTTAGAGGGTGGAAGGAAGGGAGGATGACTCTGACTTAAGATTTTTGGCCGCGGGCTTCTAGGGCTAGATCCTGTCTAGTTTCCATGTGAGAATAGCAAAATGATAGGGAGACCCCAAGGTTCTTGAGTCTAGGGAATCAGAACTTCTAGGGGATATTAGCATCACCTTTGGTTGATATTAAGAGTAACTGTTAGAACTGGAAAGCCACTATGTTACAGATGGGCACAGTGATTTGTCCACATGGCCAAGACCAGAGCCCAGGGCTTAAGTCTTTGCCCCCGCTCTTTTTGTTACACTGTGAAAACTGTCATCTGTCTCTTTTCGCACTGCTGCCTGCTTTGATTCCCTCTGCTTCTCCCTTCCTCACTCAGGATGCTCCAGATCTTACATGACTACTTCTGGTGGGAACGGCTGTGGCTCCCTGTGAACTTAACCTGGGCCGATCTAGAAGACCGAGATGGACGTGTCTACGCCAAAGCCTCCGACCTCTATATCACACTACCCCTGGCCTTGCTCTTCCTCATCATTCGATACTTCTTTGAGCTGTGAGCATACCAGCCTACCCCCATGTCTTCCCTGGCTCCCAGCCGGTTTCTTGTACTTCAAGTTTGTCTCTTGCTGTTTAATTGGTCCTGCACACTGGTGTTCTCACCACCCAGGTCCCTGCCTACTGTGTGCCCCCCACTAAAGGCAGCATTGTCTTTCTGAGGGCTCAGCACCCCCAGGCCCATTCCTTCAATGGTTGTTTGTTCTTGCCTTCCACCCGCCTGGTGGCTAGTGAACACAGGCAGCTTTGTCAGCTATGGACAGCCCAAGGAAGCCAGAGAGGGAGTTTGCTGGTAAACTGAGGCCCAGGATAAAGTTGCCTGAGCTTGCAGTATCCCCCTCCAGGTCCCCTCGTTTAGGGGCTACCAGGCTTGCCTACTTCAAGAGAGTCAGACACCCCTCACTCCTATCCCTTCCCCAGTTATGTGGCTACACCACTGGCTGCCCTCCTGAATGTCAAAGAGAAAACCCGGCTGCGGGCACCTCCCAACCCCACTTTGGAGCATTTCTACATGACCTGTGGCAAGCAGCCCAAACAGGTATGAGCTGCAGACCCTGTTCTGGGAGTTACGGAGTCCTGGTAGGGAATAAGGAGTTATGGGGTGAAGAGATGGGAAGGCAGCTCCCCTTCCCTTCCCTTCAGACAGGGTCGACTTGGGTCATTACTGGCAGAGGGATGGGAAGGGCGAGTGAGGCTGAACATAATGGGCTTCTCACTCCACCTAGGCAGATGTAGAGCTTCTGTCACGGCAGAGCAGGCTCTCTGGCCGCCAGGTAGAGCGCTGGTTCCGCCGCCGTCGCAACCAGGACCGGCCCAGTCTCCTCAAGAAGTTCCGAGAGGCAAGGTAGGGGAAGCTGACGCAAGAGAAACTGGGTGGCAGAGGAAGGTCTGACGTGTTTTGCTGGGAGGGGTGGGCCACAGCTGTACATGGAGAGAGTATTCCCAGGTAAGGAGGGACAGTGGTTGAATACATCCTTGAGAGGGTATCCAGTGGGAGGGACTTAGGGGTTGGTTGGAGGGCTGTACCATTCTTCCATTCCACTCTCCTAGCCATTTCTGCTTTCTCTTCCAGCTGGAGATTCACATTTTACCTGATTGCTTTCATTGCCGGCACGGCTGTCATTGTAGACGTGAGTGGGGATTACTGGGCAGGGGTGGGGGTGGGGGAGTAGGTTCTCTGGCAAGGTGGGGTGAGGCCCAGAATTTAGGTGCCTCCTCCTTTAACTTCTCACCATCTCTCTGCAGAAACCCTGGTTCTATGACCTGAGGAAAGTTTGGGAGGGATATCCCATACAGGTACGTGATGGGTCCTGATTCCTTGTATGGGGTAATTAATCCTTATGTGGGGTGAGAATCAGTGGTAGGATAGGATTGGGACATATACATCCTTGTGAAGAGTTGATCTCAGACACGTGGCAGAAGGGACTGCAGTCATAAGTCTTAATAGGTGCAAGGAGGGCTGGGTTTGGAGAGGTGAGACCATTGGGTCCAGTGGCTCTGGGGTCCGTTAATCTTCTTTTCTCTCTCAGAGCATCATCCCTTCCCAGTACTGGTACTACATGATTGAACTGTCTTTCTACTGGTCCTTGCTCTTCAGCATTGCTTCTGATGTCAAGCGAAAGGTGGGTCATGGGGCTGTGCCATTGAGTAGGAGCCAAAATGAAGCCTGGTATGAACCACCTCCCCTTTGACTTCCGGGTGCTTTGGATGGAGTTGTGGGATAAGTGGAATTAAAGATGAGGGGGAAGAATGGAAGCTAGGGAATGGGAAACAGTCCTCTGGAGGCTGCATCTTTTCTACAGGATTTCAAGGAGCAGATCATCCATCACGTGGCCACCATCATCCTCATTAGTTTCTCCTGGTGTGCTAATTACGTCCGAGCAGGGACTCTTATCATGGCTCTGCATGACTCTTCTGACTACCTGCTAGAGGTCAGGCTTCCTGGGCATTTCTTCAAGCCTAGAGACCCTGGTGCAGGTTCTTCTGTCCCTCTATCCTCTTTTTGGGGTAGTGGTGGGTGGGGGTGGCTGTTCCTGGGACCAAGGAGGTGGGGGCACAGAGCCAGTGTGGTAAGTGGGACGTATATATGAATGTATATGGGAGTCAGGAGCCCGTGATGATAGGTGGGGGCTATCTACACAGTCAGCCAAGATGTTTAACTATGCGGGATGGAAAAACACCTGCAACAACATCTTCATCGTCTTCGCCATTGTCTTCATCATCACCCGACTGGTCATCCTGCCCTTCTGGTGAGTAGGTTACCAGATTAGACTCCTGTTTGAAGAAATCAGGAATCTTCTCCCCAGCCCCGTTTGTCTGTCCTCAAGTCTTGACCCCCTCCTTTCTGTGTTAACAGTTCTTGTCTTTCCCCATCTGAAGGATCCTGTACTGCACGCTGGTGTACCCACTGGAGCTCTATCCCGCCTTTTTTGGCTATTACTTCTTCAACTTCATGATGGGAGTGCTACAGCTGCTGCATGTCTTCTGGGCCTACCTCATTTTGCGCATGGCCCACAAGTTCATAACTGGAAAGGTGATGGTCTGTCCCCATTCTGTAGGCCCTACTACCCTCAACTCTAGGAACAGCCCAAATTCCCTCCCATATCAGCAACCCTCTAAAACCTATACTGTGGGGCCCTGGGTATTGCTGGAAAGAGCCCACCGAGAGAGGCAGTCCTTGGGGGTTTGTAACCCTGCTCATCCTTTTCACAGGTAGTAGAAGATGAACGCAGTGATCGGGAAGAAACGGAGAGCTCAGAGGGGGAGGAGGCTGCAGCTGGGGGAGGAGCAAAGAACCGGCCTCTGGCCAATGGCCACCCCATCCTCAACAACAACCATCGTAAGAATGACTGAACCATTGTCCCTGCTGCCCGTCAGATTAAAGTATAAAGCCAAGGAAATACCCCACCCTCCCCACAGGGTCACTTTAAGCTCTGGGGAGAAAGAGAAAGCAAGAAGAGTGTGTTCTCTGTGCCCCCACCCCCTGCTTCTGTCACCCAGTTGCCTTTAAACCAAATTCTAATCAGCCTATCTCCAGGAATGGGGAGGTTGGTTATATCCTTTGTTGGGGGAGGGGGGGTTGGTCTTATTTTCCAAGTTGTCCTTTCTATTGATTTTGAGACCTTTCCTCAGTTCTGGGGGTGGGAGTTATAATTCACATTCCTTACTCTTCAGAATCTGGCCCTGTCTGCCTGCCTTTGACTCCCTGACCTCCAGAGCCAGGGTCGTGCCTTACTGTCCCACCTGTGGGCCTCATTCTGCCAAAGTTGGACCAAGGCTCACCTTTCTAATCTCCCTAACTTGGACCAGAAACCAAAGCTGAGCTGACTTCTAACTTTTTCCCTTCTAAGATCCAAATGAACTGAGTGTAGGCGGGTGCACGTGACCCTTATCCTACCTCTGCCAAAAAGTGGGGGCCACAATGTGGACTGCTCAGACAGTCTTCTGTTACTTCTCTGCCAGCTGTCCCTGTAGTCACAGGTCCAAGATCTTACTGCCTCCTTTCTCTGGCCTCTTTCCTTAGGCTAGCTGGTTTGGAGTAGAATGGCAACTAGTTCTAATTTTTATTTATTAAACATTTGGGGTTTGGGTTTTAAAGCCTGAATTACAGCTAGCACCTGGCATTTCAGCAGAGGGACCACTTCAGACCAAAATGTACTGTTAATGGTTTTTTTTAATTAAAATATATTAAAGATTAAGTAAAACATGGCAACAAGTGTTTAGACTCTTAAGAACTGAGAGTGATCAACTAAATAAACTAAGGTAGTCTTCCTCATGCCTTCCTCCTGGTTATATAACATTAAAAAATATTACATGGCAAATAAGAGAAAGCAAAAGTAGAGAAGGGTCAAGACTAATGACAGCTGCCTGTTGGGAAGGATGGGAAACTCATCTCTCATCAAGACCTAAAACTGGGAGCTGAGGGAAAGAAATCAAATCACAGTCTTAGTTTTAACATCTTGTTAAAAGACTTTCAAGAAACAATACAAACCAGGGATAATAAAATACACAGCCCTCATTCTAGGAATAAAGTCTGTCAGAAGAATGAACACCTGAACAAATGTAGGATGGGAGGGGTGAGCCACAGGAGGACTGAAGGGATGTCAGGCCCAGGTTAGAGTGGTAACCTCTCCCACTCCCAGTGCCTCCGGAGGCCGGGGAGGGGCCCTGCCTGCTAGCACCACAATGGAAGGGGTCTCCTGATCCAGAACCCCCATTTCTATCTACTAGAAGCTGGGGAGTAGCTAGACTAGAAACTTGGGGGTCAGAATTCAACAGTCAGGAAGACCCAGTTCCTGAGGAAAGGGCAGTTCAGGAAGGTTCAGGAGGTTAGGAGGAAGGCTGTCCTCTAAAGAAGACGCCCTCTGCATTCGATGGCCCCGCAGCAGCACAGCAGCTCCTTGCCTTCCACGCTGCCCACCTCATAGTTGTAGTCCCAGGTAAGCTCTGTGCCCGCTCGGATTCTCCTAAAGAGGAGGAGGAGGAAGGGTGTGGTCAAACAGCAGAAACCCAGGCCTGTGATGACTGACTGTGCAGGGGGAGCTGGATCACAGATGGAAGAGAGGCCCTTTGAATGTCCTGGCCCCTCCCCAACCTGGGCTTTCCCCACCCACCCATCCCCTTTCCTGATTCCCTCTTACTTGCTGGCAAAGAAGGCCACCCACGGGAAGCGGAGATCGTGAGTATCCACGAAGACATTCTGGACAAACAGGTTGGGGCTGCAACTGTGCTGTAGGTTTAAGTACAGATTCACTTACAAACCAAGGAAACAGAATCTGGTTCTGTGGGGTGAGTGAGAGCTGGATGAAAACAATGCCATTTGATCCTCCCACGGCAACAGAAATTTTGAAAGGCACCTCTTTTAAGATCCTTTGTGATCAAGAATTTATAATGAGAAAAGGTGGGTTTATGTAGTTGCATTTAAAAAAACTAGAAATGTGAGGACTAGGGGATAACCAGCACATACAGGTGAGGAAAAGGGGTCTCACATTGAGATAGCGGCCCAGGTTGCCTTCAAGCTTGGCATCGATGATGTAGCAAGACTCCTCCCCATCGTAGAACTGGCGTGTGTTCTTACGAACGGGTGCACTCTCCCCCTTTTCCACGGATGCCATGTTGGTTGATTTAATGGCAATCCCATGGGTTGATTTCAAAGCAAAACCCCGGGTTGATTTTACTGCCACTTGGCGCTTCATTGGACCTGGACAAGGAGAAGAATGGGGCTAGAGCCACCCTACCTCATGAGTGGAACTTCTACTTCCTTTTTTTCCTGCTTCCATTTTTATCCCACCCAGTGCACCTCAGGAATACCAATAAGCTGGGACTCTGAGGCAAAGGCCCAAGGTGGCAGTTTTTCTCAAGCAGGATTAGAACTGCTGGATACAGGAGCAGAGGGAAAAAAATAGGGAACTGGAAAGAAGAGAGGGAGGGGACATGTCACACATTAACAGTTTAGCTGGGAGTCAGGGAGTCTTCCCAGGGATGCTTCAATTCTTAGGATCTGAATTTTCCCCCTACTGGTTCCTTCCTACTACCCCACAAATTCTCCCAGACTACCAGACATGTTCTTCTTGTCCTCAAAGTCATCCCCTTCAGAGCCAGAGGAGATGGTCTGGATATCATCACTGTCCACGGCTGTGGCTGAAGTCTGGCCAGTAGTGGGCTTCCGGCTCGTCCCACTTTCCCCCTCACTTTCTGTGCTGCTGGACAGGGTCAGGATATCCTGAGGAAGCAGAAGGGTGAAAAGACGGAATAAGAGTAAATGGAGAGGGACTTCCCTGGTGGTACAGTGGCTGGGATTCCACACTCCCAGCAGAGGGGGCCTGGCATGGATCCCTGGTCAGGGAACTGGATCCCACAAAGTGCAACTAAAAAAGATTCTCCATGCTGCAAGGAAGATGGAAGATCCCGCATGCAGCAACTGGGACCCAGTGAAGCCAAAAAATATATATGTATAAAAAAACTGAGAAATGGAAAGGGCCCCTTGGGATCCCTGCTTTTAGGTACAGTTAGGCGGGAAGGGGTTGAGACTATAGTGAGATTAGATGCTGGATGAAGTAAAACGAGGCAGGAAGTCAAGACCAGAGAAATAAGAAAATATCCAACAGCAATTATGGTGATAGACTTGATGACACGAGCAGAATGTTCCTTTACTCACACTCTAGAGTAAAACAGGAGGCTGGGTAAGGTACAGCTCGAGAAAGGTCACTTACATCAGGGTTTGACTGAGCAGAGGCCATGAGTCGTCGGCTCTGATGCATACTAGTCTTACTTGGTGGGCGGCGAAGTCCTTCAGGCTTCACAGGAGAAGGATTATAACCATAATTTCGAGAGCTTTCAGTAACTCTGATGGGAGAGGAAGACACGAGAGGGTCAGGTTTACTGGCTGTTTCTTAGGCTGCTTTTGTAGGCTCGAGAGGAGGAAGATTTGGAAACAGATAAAAAAGCAAGGCACTTACATCGATATCCTGTTTCGGTCATCAGGGTCCTGGAAGACAGAGCGAGTGAATGGCTGAATGTTTCCATGGTTCTAGATAATATACCCAACAACTGTAGACTTCACCTCAGATGACCTCTAAAGATATCAGCCAGCGAGAGGTACACTATCTAAAGTGGGATGTGTGTGGAGAAATTAACTCTCCAACTTGAGAATAACGATCATTTTCATCAGGAAGCCCCACTGGGAGGGGTCTTTAACCCTTCCCAATAATAGGGCATTCCAAAATGTGCATGGCAAACACCCTGGGCAGAATATTCCAAGGACAAGGGACTGTTTACCACCTGTAATGTGGTAAGTTTCAACATCATTAAAAATATGTTAAGATCAATTCTTGTTTTTCTACTATAATGAAAGCAATGATGTAGATAAATTGAGGTGGCAGTTTTAAAAAATTACTTAAATCCTCCACTTTGGAATTAATCAGGTACTTTCCCCACAGCAGGCTGATTTTAAAATAATTTGGTTCTTTAAACAAACATGGGGTCACAAGAATCAGACATGACTTAGCAACTACACCACCATAGGAATGTATTAGGGGGAAGATTGATCAGGTTTGCCATAGAAATCCATCAAATAAATCACTTGCATGTGAAGACTCATGGAAAGGGAATTCCTTGGCAGTCTATCCTGTGGTTAGAACTCTGTGCTTCCACTGCAGAGGACACAAGTTTGATCCCTGGTCAAGGAACTAAGTTCCCCAAGCCATGCGGCATGGTCAAAAACAATAACACTCATGGTCTCGTAGTGAGATTGCATTAAGTCTGTCACCACATCAAACTTATATAACAGCCACAATTCTCAGAGTTCCTGCCACTGCTTACCTCCTTCTTGGCCTGCTTGATGTCTCCCTCATCCTTGAAGCCCAGCCCTGAGGTGGAAGCCTTCTCCGCTTCCCCTCTGCCTCCCCCAGTGCGGCCTTCCCCACCTTCACTAGTCTTGAAGGATGAATGGCTGTCAGAGTCAGCAAAGCCACCTTCACTGACACTGTTGCAGCTCAACCACGAGGCCACTTTGTTCTTGGGTGTCTCTTCAGAGGAAGGTGGATTGCAGCCACCTACAGGGATTGACGGAGGGACAGGAGTATGTGGGGGCCCCAGGTCTGGGGGACGAGAGTCCTTGGAAGACATCTCAGACAGTCCGTTTTCCCTCTGGCCCCGGGTCTGCCGCCGGGTGGCATAGCTGCGCCACACCGCGCTGGTGCTGAAGTCCTCGTCCTTATAGAAGTTGTCATCCGAGCTGTCGTCGTTGGACTCCTCGGGGTCCTCTGTGCCGCTGTTGCCATCTCCCCGGTCCTTCAAGTCTACACCACTGCTGTCAGAGGAACAGGGGATATCACTCTCATACCCCTCCTTGAAGTTCTCCACGCTTTCAATATGGTCCAGATTGGCAAAGTACTCATCACCCATTTCTAGGCCCTCCTTGTCAGCAAAGTCATCTGTCAGGATCTTCCCTGGGAATGAAGAGAAAGCCTTCCAGCTTTTAGAAAGAATAAAGTTCATTTCATCAATACCCAGCCCCACAGTACAGAGTCAAATCACATTCAATATGGTCTCCTGTTTCTCTTTGATGATACCTCCTCCTTAGTGTCTTAACTGTTGAGAGTAAGGGGAGCTTTAAATCTTGCCCTTTCTGCCACCTGATTCTTCCTAAGTTATGGTAAATCTCTGGGTGGAGTGATGTGGGAAAAAATGACACATGTCATTTTTTCTACTACCATGTCTCTCTCTGCTGAAACATGTCCACAATTTCATCCCTTTTCGTTCTTGTTCTCCTGAAGCACTTTTGACCCTTCCTGATCCACCCAGACAGGCACATCACTCATGTTCTTTTTAGAAGAAAATCCTGGCTGCTGCCTTCTCCTAGTTCACAGGTTAAGCATTTTATTCTTAAATTTAACTTGTCTCTGATTCAATGTTCCACTATGTTCTCACCCCAGAAAGCAACCCTTTCATCACCAACCTGCATAAATACAGACAAAGGAGCCTTTGGCAATGTCATCCAAGCAACGGATACCCCACCCCTTGTTCTGGGTCTTGAAAAGCTGCAGACGAACTTGCAGGCCATGCTGTACCAACCGGTTTGTGCACATGTTAGGGTCACACTTGCAGCGTTTGTTACACTCATAAACTCTGGGAGGAGATCACAATAAAATCAATCATAACATGATCACTATAGCATCTGTTACATCCACAGAACTGTTACAATTTTTAAGG